CCGACAAAGTTAAGCTTAAGCCTCATTAGCATTGGTACGAGTCAGGTGACGAGTACGACGACCAGAGCGGGACGTGCAGGGCATATCCATTGGCTCACCGTTGATCTTCAAGACGATCGCACTGATATACAGCAAGGGACAGCTCAGGAGCTATCCCAATGTTTTGGGTCTCATATCTTATACACGAGACTTCGTTGGCCAGCAGCCTTGCTACGCGGTGCGGCTCAGACCTTACCCGTTGTCGCGCCCGTCACTAAAATTAGTCTAGTTTGCGTGTCATGTCCAAGAATCGTGTAATGAAGATCTGGTCTCCAGTAAAGTGCAGGCATGTGAGATTCGTAATGATATTTGCAAAAGTGCCGAGACGATGGCGATAGTGCTTGGGCTCTTATCGCCGTTGGCGAATATTTATACCTAGTGCCAAGCCCCTGAAGATCTACCGCTCTCCCTGTATCAACAGCAGAACGTCTCATCTCTAGCCTGGAACTCTCAAGTAGGAGTCTGGTGACTATATACATCAGTTGAACTCTCTTCGCTTCTTTTTCCATCTCTCTTTCAGCTCAGTTTTCACAATATTTCTGCATTACCATGGCGCATCACGATACGAGGATACACGATTCCAACATGGATCGCAACAGCTACAACCTCGACAACCTCTCCACTCAACACAACCACCATGAGTCACATCGACCAAACTCTCCATCAGATCTCATGTCCGGAGCCTCAACCGATATCGAGTCCGGCACATCAACACCGACACATATCAAGGATGCAAACCAACATCCTTCATTCGACATTTACGACCCGAACCGACCTAAACTTGGCTTGCGTCAACGGATGAAGCACTTCACTTGGGCTTGGTATACATTGCCTATGAGTACTGGTGGTCTATCACTTCTCTTCTTCGCTCAACCGAACCAATTTCCTGGCCTCAAGACCATTGGTCTGGTCATTTATATCATCAACCTCATAATATTTACCTGCGTGACCACGGCTATGGTATCGCGGTTCTTTCTTCACCCTGGATCATTTGCCAAGTCCATGACACATCCACGAGAAGGTTTCTTCTTGCCTACATTTTTCTTATCCATAGCCACCATCATTACCAGTACCGATCGGTATGCGATACCGAAGGACAATTCAAACTTGGTCTGGGCTGTCCAGGCCACCTTCTGGGGCTACCTTGTCGTCACCCTCATCCTATCTATAGGACAGTACAGCTATGTCTTTGCAGCTCATAGCTTTGCCCTCACCACTATGATGCCTACTTGGATCTTACCCATCTTCCCCATCATGCTTTCGGGCACCATCGCGTCTGTCATCGCTGAGACTCAGCCTCATGTTGCTGCTGTGCCGATCATTGTTGCAGGACTAACCTGCCAAGGCCTTGGACTCAGTGTTGCTGTTATGATGTATGCTCACATGATTGGACGCCTGATGCAAGCAGGCCTGCCCAACAGAGAACATCGCCCAGGTCTTTTCATGTGCGTTGGACCCCCTGCATTCACTGCCCTGGCTTTGATAGGCATGGCTCAAGGTTTGCCTGAAGACATCGACTTCATCCAAGATGGAACGTTTATCAATGTCGGAATGGTTCGGTTGATCGCTACTATGAGTGCTATCTTTCTTTGGGCTTTGAGTTTGTGGTGGTTTGGCATCGCGGCTGTTGCCGTTATTCAGTCTCCCCCCAAGTACTTTCACCTCGGATGGTGGGCTATGGTTTTCCCCAACACTGGTTTCACTCTCGCTACTATCTCTATCGCGAAATCCCTTGGCAGCAAAGCCATCGGATGGGTCGCCACTGGAATGAGCATCATCATTCTCTCCGCTTTCGTTTTCATTCTCTACAGCCACGTTAGGGCTGTCCTCTCCCAAGACATTATGTACCCAGGACGGGATGAGGATGTCGAGGACCACTGAGTCGAGCATTTCAGCGCAGCATAACTAGACTTCTAAATTGCATAAAGGAACATAAAAATGTTATACACTACTACTCGCATATACTGTCGTTTCCCATTCACTACCCCCGTCCCGTGCATCGCGATCAATCGTTTCTATAGTAAGGATTTAATATTCACTCGTTAGTTAGTTTCACCTTTGAATTGATATCATATTTGAATTTGAATGACTCCGTTTCCTAATTAAGAAGTCTCTTATCTATGCTAGTCCATTTTTACTGTTTCGATCGTTTCAGAAATCTACGATAAGATCAACCGATCTGAAACCGCTTCTAGAGCTCCGAGTCGCATCCCCTTGTCACTGTTGCCGGAGCATAATGCTGCAACGGAATATTTATTTCTGAATATTTCACTCACTAAAAATAGTCCCCCTTATATTGATGCACTCGAGACGTTGGTAAATCTGAGCTTTTCAGTAGTTGTCATCTCATTGGGTGCGTAGTGAATCTCCTGGGCTTGTCATGGGTCGCAGCCCGCGTGCAATCCACTCTTGATGATACTCTGCAAAGACCCAGACCCGGGAAATCCGCGCATTGGTTGAAGACCGAACTTCCTGGTGAGCTTAACTTTTTCCGTAGCAAGGTTGAGTTGTTTTGTTGCAGTTTGCAACTTCCATTCTTACACTGACTAGCCGTGTTCAGGACTCCTATCGAGTTCCAGCCAGTCAAGCTTCTTTCCAAGATAGGGTTCTCATCTATCGCTCTCGTTTGGCGATAATAGCCCACTTCTCAATAAGCACTTGGTAATATTCGGATGCATGTACGTAATCAATGCTGACACCCCTCTCTTGGCTGATGAACCGGTTAAAAGAGGTTTTAGAGATGAGAGTCAGATGCTGACGGTCTTATAAGCCAGCACCTAAACTAAACAAGGGGTGGATGCCAGAAAGTGGAAATATTTGCAGCTATGTCTGAATCAACGATCGAGCAACTCCCCACCCTACCCTCTGATCTGACTCCCCAGTGGTTCAGTGCGAAACTTGGGCAAAAGATCAAATCAGTAGAGAATACACGCAACATCTGGGGAACCGCGAGTAAGCTATTCTACACGATTACCTACGAAGATGAAACAGATCAAGAAAGGCCGGTCAATATCTGTGTCAAGGGAGTGTTTGACCCCAAGATGATCGAAGCTCAGCCATGGACAGTCAGTCTAGCTCAACGAGAAGCTGAGTTCTTCAGCAAGGTTGCGCCAAACATCAGCCATATGATCTTTCCGAAAGGTTGGTGGAGCGGAACGGATGAGAAGCAGGGAATTGCGATCATGAATGATCTTGTCAGCGAAGGTTGCACCTTTCCAGCCGAAGTTGCTTCATATTCTGTAGACAGCGTCAAGAATGGTGTTGAGCAGCTGGCAGGTCTGCATACCCAGTACTGGGGCCAGAGTCAGGAGGACCATCCATGTAAGAACCTTTGTAAATAATTCCGTTACCGGCATCTCACACACTTACAGGGATCTGGAACAACTACGATCCTGCCATGACATTCATGTGCAGATCGTGGGACGAAGTGGTTAGAAGACCTGGCCGCCCCCAGCTTCCGGAGTATCTGATGGACGGTGCTCGATGTAACAAAGCCTTAGATCGTTACTACGCTGAGCGGAACCCACGTTTCCGCACCCTGTTGCATGGAGATACTCATATCGGAAACATCTACTTCACAGCTGATAACCGCATCGGCTTCCTAGACTGGTCAGCGTTCCACTTTGGCTCATGCTTCCATGATGTCGTGTATCACATGACAGCCATGCTCAGCGTGGAAGATCGCAGGGCCCATGAGATGGAGATATTGGATCACTATCTTGAGACACTTCATAGACTTGGAGGTCCCAAGTTTGACCGGCATAATGATCCTGAGGTTATGGTGGAGTATAAGCGATCATTCATGACCAATGTTATCTGGCTCATTTGTCCGGATGGTCTCCAAAGCAAGGAGCGTGTCGCTGCTTTGTGTGAGCGAACCGTTGCCACTTATGACGACCATCAGGTTATTGACGTTATTCTGGGTCAGCCAGAACCGACAGCATGAGTGCTGTTCTCCTCGGATGGTAGCATTTCTTTGGTCCTTCTATTTGAATCATAACCATATGCCTATAGTATTAGCCAAAACTAATAACGAAACTTGTATTCACCGTGTTGCATTTCCAAGTCTTGTTATGATGTTGTGCGATCTGACGACTATGTGCTTGATTCATGACGAACCGTATTATGTTGGTAGGATGACATTTCACAATATGGTCTATAGATAGTGGATCAGTGATAAAACATGATGCTCAACACGTTTGATCAGTGAACAAAACATTAGTTCCTCACGATTATAACTTCTCTCTCGCTGAAATAACGCACGGTGAGGAATAAGGCAATTTACATCTACCAAAATGCGTGGCTCTTGGTCTGTCCTCTTATGGGTACTAAATACTATTCACGATACTAGAGATGCACCAGTCACGGGAGAAAAGAAGTCACGCTCTAATCATTAGTGCTACTTGGTGTTATTATTTGCTGAGGGACGTGAGCTCTGAGTGACAACTAGACTACTTTATCTGCGGCTGAGCCATGATATCCTTACAGAAGCTTGTCTTTAATAACCTCGCTTCTTCTTCTGCTTCTTCAAGCACTCGTCACATATGGACTCTATCTCCTTCCTTTCGACCGACGTCCCGTTCCCGCAGGCGCCCATGGCACCACCCTTCTCCCTTGCCTTGGCACAGGGGACGTCGTCCCACTCATCCTTAAGGTGAAGATAGCATTTTCTGCAGGAGTACTTTCTTTGGACCTTGATACACATGTCTAACGGGCCAAAAGTGGTTTCAAATTGCTTTACTATTTTATGGCTTCGGTATGAAGAAATTTCTTGATCTTTATATGTCTGTTTGCGATGGGAAAGGTTCTGGGAATGGATGGTCCAATATTTATACTTTTTATCGATATATGATTCACTGCAAGAGAGTTTAGATTAACTGTAATAGGACATGTCATATATCCGCTGTTAAAAACCACAAGGTAGTCGAATCCTATCCGAAGCTAATATTGACTTCCTTGACCTACGCATTGGCCAGCTTTCTAAATCTCGGCTCAAACATGTTCAGCCAAGGTCTCTCCGGCCGCAAAGACGCCTCAGCCATCTGTTCCAAGAAGTCTTGGATCCCATTGAACGGGAAAACGGTAAAGTCCCATGCAGTCCAACTAATCAGTCCCCATTCAAGGTTCCTGAAATTTTCCATGCTCCCGTAAGTCTCTTGAACAAGGCGGTCAAGCTCACGACGCTGGGTGTCATTTCTTTCCTCATAGGTCTTGAAGAAATAATCTTTGGCTGGCTGAAGTCGCTCCTGACCTATGAGGAATAAATGGCCAGCCCTGTCTTCGTCGTTGATATCGCCCGACAGACAGATACATCGAGCCTTTTCGAAATTTGGCCACTCCAGCATGTTTCCCGTCCCTGGTAGTGGCTTACGGCTACTCAGCAAAGGAAGCTCATTGCCTTCGAGAAAGTCGACCTCTTGCCAATTGGCGTCCTGGGCACCAGCCAGGTAGTCTACAAGATTCTGACCGTCCCACATTGAGCCAAGACCATTCGTGATGCTGAGGAACTCTTTATAATCTTCTGGAAGAGTCATGCCCAGTCGCTTCTCCAAAGCTCGTATACCCGAAACGGTACATCCCCGTCGAAGTAGACCATCTGCATCTTTTGGTCGATTCCGGAGGTTATCAGGCGGACGATAGGCATCCAGCCTGTCGTAGGGGCAGTTTTTGAACGTATTCTCGCTGATAATACGGACCAGCTTCTCAATAGACTGGCCTGCATATCGACCTCTGGGTCCATTCTCCAGACGAGTCTCAGCCATTTGACATGCACGAGTTATGGCTGGCCGGAGCTTGGCAGCGTGAATGTTGAGAAAGTCCAGGATGGGCCGCTCGGGAACAGCAAGAATCTGCTTCCACGCGGCTCGAGAGCAGGCGAGCTGTTCGACTTGCTCTTCTGTGTCAAAACGATCGCACACTTTCATGAATAGCTCTCGAGCTTTTCCTTCCTTGCCCAGGCGTAGATATATATCCAGGGCTATCGTCAAACCAGCAGTGCGGTACAGCTGAACATATGGGTAAGGGAAAATGCCTTGACGCCACCACATGGCTATCTTCATGTATCTAACAGACATCGGCCCGTTTGGACTCGCTGAATATGAGAAGACCCCATTTTTGGCCATGGTTTCTGCCTGTACGACCTGTCCGGCAAGTGTCCCATTGAAGTCAGGCAGGTTCGTAGTTAGCCCGTTATACGCCATGTCCAAAGCTTTTTCGGCGGTCTCTTCTGTGACGTCCCATTCCTGACTGAATCGCTCGATCCAGTGCTTTCGTCCTTCAACTTCAAGCTCTTGAAGCTTTTCTTCTATGCGTTCTTCCTCGGGGATCCAAGATGGCCATGACGACGTTGCCTCCCAGGCGAAAAACATGCAAGGCTTCAAGAAAGGATAATCAGAGTCAGAGTATTGGAACGGATCAATACCTCTGCTCTTTAGTGTCTCAAGAAGCCTAGTTGCGCCATCGACTTCACCAATCACTGCAAAATTCACGGCGGTTTGGATGATTCTTCGAATAGCTTGGGTGAGGGACCGTGTATCGGCAATCGAAGGTTCATCATCGACATGGCGAAGAAGGAACCCAAATCTAAGATGTTCGGGCTCGATGTCTTTGTGTCTCGATGTCGCCATGTTTTTGGGCTTGGAATGCTATCAAGCGCTTGTGTGAGTGTTGTCAGGTGCAAGCTTACAGCGTGCAGTTTTCGCGTTACCTTGGCCAAGGCGTGTGACGTCACAAATAAGCTGACCTTGCCACGCCAGTTGATGGAAAGTCTAGAACATTTTGTTACTAATAGCAGTTCTCTTACTAATTCTCTAAGACAGGTGTCCCACGAGTTTAATGTAAAGTCGCTGCAAAATGTTGAGGCTTCCGTTGCTGAAGAATCAGGAATTTATTCATGCAACGGGTCTTACGGTTAAGGATGTTAAGCTAAGCTCGTCAGATTTTATGAGTTTCTCGCTCATGATTCATGCGTACTTTGAAATCTCCTCACATCAATATTCTCATGGTTTTGGCTGGTTGTTGCGTTGTCTGGAGATGATGTATTGAACTTCATGATCCGATGAGTTCCATCAGAGCCCTTAGCACCTTGGGTTAACCGGAGCATACTCTCCGGTCTGACTCTTAAAGTTGTAAAGCGTCTCTGGCTCTAAGTGCAGGTGCTCCTGACTTCAAGAACAGAAGGATGCGTGGCGAGGAAGGCGATGGCGTGTTCACCATCCTCCCAGCTTAGCACTTTCCTGACTGCTGATGTTTCCGACCTTCGTCGCAACTCTTCTTCTCTTCCTTTTCTCCTCTTCACAAACAATCATCAAGATGGGTTGGTGCGTATCGTTGCAGCTTGGTCATCGATCAAGAAACGCTGATCTTTCACAGCACAGTCTTCAGTTTCCGACTCATCAGACCCCTCCCCATGGCCACTGAAGATCCGCAAGTTATAACCCGGTCCCTCCTGTTCGTCGGCTGACCTCGAATCGCAGACAATGGTTACCTATACCAGCGCGTTTCATGGAGAGTAACGGATTGGTCGCCGTGGCATTCTTTATGCAGGACAGAAATGGATTTCGGTGTGAGGAGTTGACGGTGCGGATTGCAGATCGTGGACTTCTGCTGTTTTTATTTGTACTGTTGTTGTTTGCGTTGCCGTTATGGCTGTCCTGGTTCCGGGAACTTTGAATCGCGGACATAACCAACAACGACGTGGCTCCCTGCGATGTTTTCCCTCTTCTGCAGGAGGATTTATTTCCAGCCTTCGCTCGAGGCTCATCATGCTAGCAATAACGGAAGTCAATGAAGATGCTACTGAGTCACAGAAGGAAGTACACCTTTCGCCCACCGAGACCGTATCTTCAAGCTCACGGCTCCTCCCCCTTCTCCGTGCCGATTTTAGATTCAACACTCTTGACTCCACCATCTCAGAAGCTCTTCGAGCTTTTCATCTCTACTGATTAGACAATACGATACTCGGCGAAGTCAGTCTTATCTTCAATTGCTTGAAGTGTGGCCTCTCCGTCCATAATCCCCTGCACGTAGCTACAACACTTTATTGGCAAAGATCGAAATCGGATAGAAGGATGACACGTACCATTCGCCAACATATGTCCAGGTCTCATGCGCACTTCTCCTCAATGCATAGGCTACGGATCCACCCAACAGGAGACAGATAGAGTCACCGGGTTGGATATCTGGCGGGCCTAGTCCCATATAACCATTTCCTGTCATGAAGAAACGCCGATTGAATTGCTCAATCAATCGAAGTTGCCGGTATAGAGGCCGAAGGCATGACTCCCACGTGCTTAGCAAGCCTTCCATTCCCTCCGTGGTCTCAAGTTGTAACAGTTCCTGCAGATCGTTCTTGTCCAGCCTTTTGGGCGTACCGCCTTTCTTCGAGGCCAGACGGCCTTGGTTCAAGTCAACCAGAACTGTTCTCCAAAATGCCAAAGCCTGAGTTTCACCTGTTACATAGCTATTGTTAGGTGGAAGTAAGGATCTCCACTGATTTAATGTATCTCTCATCGAGCTCCTCCAGTGTTCAGGGTTTGTCTCGCCTACATTCTCAAAGTCAGGACCTGGAGCTTGAGTTCCGACAACGGACACCGAATCGAGGCAAAAGCCTTTGAGTATTAACACACTGTCATCCTCATCTGTTGTTATGCCCGAAGGCCCCTCTGGGCTCATAAAAGCCTTGTAGATCGACCATTTGTTGAGAACTTTGGACAGCGAAGTTATGTAGTCCCTGAATGGCTCGGAGTGAAGTTCGAAGTCAGGGACCCAAGAGGCCAGGCTTTTGTTTCGAGACTCCTTCTTTTCAGAGATCAGGCCAAGGCAGTTGAGGTTGCCATCCTCGACGAGCGCGGCTCGCATCGCGGCTCGATACACCTTCTCGACTGACCATGAGTATTCTGGCTTGAGGCTGTCGCGAGGCTCTACAATACCCAGCAAGCCAATGACCTTGTCTCTCGGATCCGAAGATGCGCGGTTCCAGGTCGAGTAAAGCGCCATTGTAAGTCCGATTTTCCCATGAGCAACCATGTCTTTACGCAGATATTCGACGAGCATTAAGGCGCCAAGAGTCATGTCTCTGTGGGCCAGTGCGCCTTTGTGAGCATCGTGATTCACTAGGTGATATAAGAAATGGGACAGGCCCAAGAGGTATTCGAAAGGAAACGTTTTTGAACCCGACCAGCAGATTACGTTTGGGCAGAGGACACTTTCTTGCAAAGTCCATATTCTTTTCCACCAGCTGTTGGAGAGTAATGCTACCGCATGGTTGAATGCCGTCAGTGCTCCTGGGTGATCAAGAAGCTTTAGAATGGGCGCATAAAACTCGTGAAAGGGCGTGGAATCTGGGTACATTGTGGCCGTGCGTGCATCGTTCGACGGAGACTGTTGATAACTTGTATCACGAAAGACAAGCGTATAGAAGTTGGTCAGGAAAGCAACACCAGCGTCAGAGTTTGTATCTGCGATTCCGAGCCAGACGTCGACAGCTTGAGCTTGAGAGTAAATTTGGTTCATTTGCAGAACTTGACGATTCCTCTCCGCTTGATCTTGCTGATTGATACAGACGGCGTCGACCCAGATGAGCTTTGCCTCAACAGGCTGTCGAAATGCCTTGAGAGCTGCATGTAAATTGGGCCGCACTTCAAAAACAGTCCCGTTTACCAGCAGTCGCATCGCCGCATCGTCATTGCCCCATGTGTATGAGATGGCTTCATACTGAGGGCAGGCAGACAGCTCGTGATGATGCAGCTCACATGATATATCGGATGTCTCATCTTGTGACGGGAGGATACTCAGCAGTCTGAACCACCCGTTTGAGGGGAGTGGCGAGTAAGTGAATGGCTGTTCCATTTGGCGGGAGAGTGAGGCTGGTGGGCATCGAATGTCGGGTAGCGGGTGATGGAAAATGACGCATCAGACTTGACAAAAGATGCCTTTGTAGATATCAATGTTCCTCTTGATTAGTTTTAAACACAGTTACACAAGCCACTTGGACAGTGACTGATTGCCAAGAGCTATTTCGTGAGTTGATACCGCCAAGGCTACGGCTACGGCAGTGGCATGTCGTGTTTGTTGATGTCGCGCTCGCTGAGGCTTCAGCACAGACGGTAACAGTGCATCAGCATAGAGAGCTAGCAAGCGCGGATGCAGGCTGACCAAACTGCAATACAGCTGCGCAAGCAACTACGTTACATTACATGGAATTAGTGGAAGCGATGAAACAGCCCAGGTAAAGCAACAATTGATCACAGATCAGATAGTTGGATGAAGCAATGAAGAAGCGGTTGGCGGCCTTTTGCTGTCTAGGTATCGGAGCGCAATCAAGGCTAATACGGCGATGCAAAACGATCCAACACAAGCCAGTGCTCTCCATGAATGATCATTCTTTCACCATAGAAGTTAAAAAAGAAGCACTGGCAGGAAACTTTCGCAAACTCGTAGAAGGATTATGGATTGATCTGATACGGCTATCATTACGAAAAGGCCGTTCTGTTGGCAAGGCTTCTGAACTCAATCTCCCCTTCCCCTCAATCTACCCTCCATCATGCGTGGGCTCGATCGTCGGCGTAGCGACCAAAGATTAATGCGGGGTTGCATGGATGTCGTCTAGGTCGTTAACCAGGTCAATTGTCCTTAAGCTAGCGATCATTTGCTCCGTAGACACGGGAATTCCACATCCCGAGCGCAGACACAATTGATGAGATGAACAGAATCTTCATCAATTAGCTTCATTTGCCACGCGACTTGGACAGGCTGAGTACCGTGGTCTCAATAGGCAAAGCCAGAGGTTTGCCTCAACAAGATCGAGTCAGTGAGTCTCCGGCTTGAGCACAGACGGATGGTCGATTGGTGGCAACGACTAGCCACATGAGGCATGATCTACTCAGATCCATCTCTGGGACATCCACGCTCTCGGGAGATTGGCGGATTGCAACGCTGAGCTTCAAACCTACGATTCATGGAGTAATCGCTACTGCAAGATATCTCTTGGCCTTTCGCCCATAGCTGTTTACAATGAATCAGGTTCACTCTAATGCGACATTGCAAGGGATCCTAACAGAGGTAGAGGCTGGGGCCTGCTCGTATCCCCTCAGAGTCAACATCTTCTGTCAGCTCAATACCCAAGCTCCACCTCGTACCCAAAGCAAATGACATCAAAACCCCCAAAGAAATTACCATCCTCTAGAGTCTCAACGCTTTTCACAGCCCTCATCCAAGGCAAAACAACCCCCTACTAGCAAAACCGAACCCAAACTAAGTCCCCCGTAATGACTCGAACATCCACGTGCCGCCCACGCGGAACAGGCGGTTAGCCATACAAAAACGAGCCCCTATCCATTAGCACGGAATAATCTTGTACGCCATCTTCACCTAAAAACACTAGCGAACGGCGGTCCGCCACTGCGCGCTCTTCTCATTTGCCCATCTGGTAGATCTATGGATTCACCATCTCGGTCTATTCACCAGACTGCCGGGGCTTCTGGAACCTCTAAAATCCCCCATCATGCAAGATTCCGATCTACTTCGGGGCCTTGGCAAGGATTTGCCATCCTTTTTTTCTTGCTTAAAGACCTTCTTCCTGTCGCAACCCTGTCTTCTTGGCGGTTTGCTTGTTTCTCTCTGTTTC